CTCGCACCCCCTCCCCTTCCGGCCCGTTTGGCGCCACTGTGTCGCACAGCTAGCTGCAGTGGGGCTCCACCGCCGCGCGAAGCTGCGCGAAGCGAAGGCAAAAGAAACGAAATCCTGTTAAGGCGCGATGCGTCTGGAGTCTAGACCGAGCTAGACGCGGCGTCCTGGCGGTGGTCTTGGCGTTAGTGCCACCCATCCGCTCGGAAGCGCCAAACTGTTGCATCAGCAGCAAACATAAACAAGATTTCCTCATTTTTTTCGTAATTTCTTTTCTCCAAAAAACAAAAAATAGTCAAGAATCCATTTATGGATTCAGTTTTTCGAGCTGACCAAATTTTTTTAAAATGGACTTCACTTGAAACACACGTCTTCTGCGTCGAGTGGTCATGAGTCGAGAAATTCTAAGCTTGTTTTGAGAAATATTCTAAAAATCTGGAGTCTTGCCCCGTCGACACCAGCTGTGACTGCTTCTTTGAAGCTCGCCGGGCCGCTCGACCCGGCTAGACCCACCCCCGTTCCTAGAAAGTACACTAAGCCAGATCGGAAATGAGAGCTTAATCCAATAGGAATTCCTGGCAGCCAGGCCGACATCGGCAATTGGGTACCTACCATTTAGCAGCATCTTAGATCTGCCAGAGCAAAAAAGAAAGAAAAAACAGAGATAGAGAAATAGAGAGAGGGGGATGAGAAATAGGAAAAGGAAGCAGAGAGAGAGAGAGAGAGAGAGAGAGAGAGAGAGAGAGAGAGAGAGAGAGAGAGAGAGAGAGAGAGAGAGAGAGAGAGAGAGAGAGGAGAGAAGGGGGCGGGGAGAGGCCGGCTCAGGAGCAGAACAGTGCGGTTTCCCACGGACAAGATTCCTCTCCCCGATCGCCCCCTCCAGCGAGCCGCTCCAGCCTCCAGCCGCTGCAGCTAGCCAGCCTTGCAGTGCAGTGCCTCGCAGTGCCTTGCAGTGCCTTGCAGTGGCGTACACATGGTAATAGCGGTGCGGCTGTCAGACACTTAGTTTGCACAGTTTGCACGCGCGGGACGCGGTCAGCGTGCCGGCACCCACCCCGCCCACTCTCTACTCGCAAAAAAAATTATTTAACATTTTTAAGATTTAAATTTAAATTTTTAATTTGTTTTTAAAACACGTTTGTCGTTTGGGAATCGCCGCGGCCTCGCCGCTCCCTGACTAACCTCACCGCCGCCGTTTGGTTCCGGAACAGCAGTGCCTCGTCGCTCTGTCTCTCTCGCACCCGCGCGGGGAGGCCCACGAGTGCGAGGGAGACGGCCACATCGCCGTATCGGGAACCGGCGGCGGGGAGATTTGACGCGGAAAGTATCTCGTTGGAAATAAAGAATGGGAATGTGACCTTCACCTCCGCTGTCCAAACAGTCGATCCCTTTGAAGGGGGCGGAGCGCGCAGCGGCGCGGCGGCCAGGACTGGTATGGTTCGTCGGCCGGGGCTGGCGGGGCTGGCGGGGCTGGCGGGGCTGCGGGGCGGCGGGGCCGGCGGGGCTGGCGGGGCTCGCGGGGCCGGCGGGCCCGGGCCGAGATGGAGTGCTGGATATCGGGCTGCACCGTGTGATCCCGCATCGCCGTGGAGGTGGCAAGCGAGGTGCGAGAAACCCATTTTCCGCAGTTTAGGCTCCGGGCATCGCAAACAAATACATTAAAAATTCAATCCGACTCCCTATTCTATTTTATCCCCCCATTCGTGTTTAAAATTTTTCACTATGACGTATTGATGTGAACCGATCAGAGAAGGAAACAACAGTTGCAAAATAATCGAGATGAAATTAATATCGTCGACCGGTACGAGAAAATTATGATTTTGGCACAGCCGATACTCTTCCTGGCAAGGACAGCGGCCGACGCTGCAGGCCGGGCGGAGCCTCGTCGGGGGAGAAGGAAGGGGGGGGGGGGCAATGAGCTGGAGCGCGCTTATCACAGCCACAATCAGGAATCCAATTTAGTTTTTATACGGCGAGTTATCCTCCTCCACCTTTGCTGTATAAATATACATTCTGTGAACTATATGTGTTGGTGGGTGTGGAAGCTGGAAGCACGCTGGGTGCGTCCATCCAGTTTTAACGACCTTGGTATGAATGGGCGGCCAGTGGGACGGTCCGGTGGCGAGTGTGTGAGTCACGCCAACCGAATTTCACCCAACAGGAATTTTCGACTTGTCGTTCGATTAATCGAATGCATAGGATCACTTGCTCCGCAAAAAAGGTAAAACAGCGAAGGTGCACAAGGACTGCAGAGGCCGCGGGGCCCGCGGTGGGTTTCCCGCATGTGGAGCGGCGCGCTGCGACTGCCGCCTCACTCCGGAGGAAGCGTCGCCGTCGCTCCGTCTCTCTCGCACCCCCGCGGGCCCGCGGGACGCCCCGTGAGTGCGAGAGAGACGGAGAATCCTTTCGCAGTGTGGCGGCCGACTCCGCGAAACAAACGACTCGTTTACATGGAAATAAAGCGACGCGTTACGTCATGCTGTGGGGAAACGGATCCACACGACACAGTAGTCGGCACACGCTCCGTCTCTCTCGCACTCGTGGGGCGTCCCGTAGAGGTGCGAGAGAGACGGAGCGACGAAAACGACTCTCGGAATCGGTCTCGGCGGCGCGGCCAAGCGCGGGACAATGCGCCAATCGTTAAACTTGTCAACCTGACAGCGGACCTCCGTAATCTTCGAGCAATACTTTATGCAAATGGGCGATGGCCACGCGCGCTAGCCACACACACTACATGTTTTTGTACAAATTTTGAGTGTGTACAAGATCCTACTTTATTAAAAAAAAAACAAAAACACGAAGAATTGGAAGAATTCAATATTTTAACTTTTGAAATTTCAAAATTATTTGCAGTAGATTCAGAAGTATTACAAGAAAAGTTTGTGCAAACATAATGCGAACTAAAAAAATTTCTATTGCGAATAATTTTTGAAGTCTACCTGCATCGAAATATTTCGAAAAAGACGAGACCTGCGATCGCAGTTCAGCGCGATACTCGTAAACGAGGCGGGCAGTATTTCAAATGGCTGACTCATTTTTCGAACGGGCGTGGTGTTGCGGAGTGTTGCTGTGAGTAACGTCTTTTAACCGCCTGACGCGGCGGTGGGTACACTGCGAGTGGCGCTAGTGCTCTGCGCTGTGCTGTGCTGCTGCGGCGGAGCGAACGCGAGCGTCTACTAGATTCTGGAAATGATAGGGACCGTGACGCCACCTCCTGTTTGCTGGGGCCTGCCGGCCTGCCGCTCTGCCGCTCTGCCGGACAGACGGCCAGCGAGGCCGGAAAATCGATCCCAGCAGCGTAGGGGGATCCCGAGGTCCCGGCAGCCGTATTGAAACACAGTGTGACGCCTTTTTGAAGCGCGTTTACAGAGTGGCTAAACAACGTACTCTAAAAAAAATGAGAAAAAAATTAAGTGCGGAAATTTGTTTTGTTAGCACGTCCCCCCCTCCCCTCTCTCTCACTGTGTGTGTGTGTGTGTGTGTGTGTGTGTGTGTGTGTGTGTGTGTGTGTGTGTGTGTGTGTGTGTGTGTGTGTGTGTGTGTGTCAATTCCAGTGCGCTTCCCCGCGGCGCCGACGGCTAGCGTATCCATGCATGGAAACAACAGTGGACCGATTCCGAGAGTCCGTTTTGGTCGCGCTGTCTCTCTCGCACTCGCGGGGCTCACCGTATGAGTGCGAGAGAGACAGAGCGACGAAAACGGACCCTCGGAATCGGTTTGCCAGGCAAAGGTCAATCGAGCCCCATCAAGAATGCGCGGTGGGAGTCGCAAGAGAAATATTAATTGCACAACCCTCGCCGGTTATTGTTTTATCTTACTGGGAAGGTCTCGCCTCGCGAGCTTCGGGCTTCGAGGTTCGAGGCCGCCTAGTTGTCGCTGCCCGCCGCCACCGCCGCGCTTCGGCGCAGCGAAGGCTTGTGAGGTCTAGCGAAGCCTAGCCTGGTGCAGGTTGGGTGCAAGGGATGTTTTTTTTTTTTTTTTTGCACCGCGTGGCATCAAGAAAGCAGCCAGAAAGCTAGACGAAGACTCCTTTGCCCCTCCAAGCGCCGTGGCGGTAGGCAACCAGTGCTGCAGTGCGCACTGGCGCGCCGCGGGTTGCCTGGGCGCACTTCGCAGGGGCTGAGGCCGACTGACGAGGTCGACACTCCCTGCGACGCGTTTATTGAACATTCCGTTGGAAAAGTCGCTCCCGCTTTCTTCCCGCGAGGCGCGCCACTGTGGGACAGCATCGCCTCCGTCACGGCAGAACGCTGTTTCGCCCGCAGTGGTTCTAGTTAGTCGCCGTTCTGGGCGTGCCGGCGCGGCCCGGCGGCGTGGTGGGTCCGGCCATCTCTCTCGCACCCGGTGGGGCGTCCCGCGAGTGCGAGAGAGAGAGATGGCGCGGGTGGAGGCGGCTGGACTCGTCATGCGCCTTATGTAAACGCACCTCACGAACTGGCCTCCCAGTCGCTTTTCTCGACTTTGCGGCGCCACCGTGTGCTCCAGAAACGCTGCTGCACTGCATGGAAACATGATGGAAACGCCGCGCCCCCGGCCTGGCGAAGTCCGCCGCTCAGTGCAAGCCGTCCGAACAACCATGACACGGAGCTTTTGCGGGGACACCTGTTGGTGCACTTTCTTCTGAAAGGAGTGCCCTACCTCCACATGAGAGTGTACTTGCGAGGTCCGCAGTCTCAGTGCTCACTCGGCTGCGCCCTTCCTTCCTCGCCGCTCCGAGGAAGGAGTAAAAGGTCGAGGGTTCGATCCCGGGCGGCGCCTTAGTTTTCGCGGGGTTCTCTTCGTGCGGTGCACTGCGATGCACGGTCGAGCGGTTCGATGGCGCGGCCGTGTGGTGTCGCGTGCCGGCAGAGCCTGAGAGGCATGTCTCTCTCGCACCCGTACGGGCCGCTCCATGAGTGCGAGAGAGACAGAGTGACCGTCAGTCTGCAGGCAAAGCAAACACCGCCACGTACGGGGCAATGATTGGACGGACTGTCGCATGGGAACCCACGAGGCGTGCTCACCTTGGAGAAGCCGAAGATGTTGGGCGTGTGGTCCAGGTGCGCGTCGGGCCGCTTCATCACTGCAACAAAAGCAAACTGCATCAAGTCAAGGTCGTCACGGCCAAGGAGGCACTGCCCGCCCGTCAGGCCTTTATCACGCAGCCACGGCCTGCCGAAGCCGCAGCTAGCCAGCAAGTCAGCGGGCCACGGCAGGTGAAGCCCCAATCCTACGGGGCGGCGGGGCGGCGGGGTCCAGGAGGGCCAACCCAGCCGGGCTGGGCGGACGGGGAAGGCCGGGGTCGTGGCGGAGGTTAAATACCGCGGCGGAACCAACCACCCGCCTCACGCGAGGCCCGCGGCCCGCTACTCTGTGTGTTCCCCTGCGGGCTCGTGCGAGGAGGCTTTTCCAAAGGAAACCACCACCACCACCACCACCAACAACAACAACACACAACACTACTACTACTACTACTACTACTATACTACTCAACTAACTACTATTTAAAAAAAAAGGCATTCCATTGATGGAGAAAAACCTTTTTTGGGAAAAACCCTTTTGTATCAAAAATTGGCGGCCCCAGTGATAAATTTAAAGCAACAATTAACGGCCTGGAACATTGCAACAAACTTGGCGCCTTTGTGCACCAAGGCCCGGCTTTTCAGAAAGTTTTTTTTTTTTTGCAACAAACTTGGAGCTGGCGCCCCGCGAGTGACTTGACTGATGGCCGGGGGAGGCGCGGAGTTGTAATTCACATCGGACGCGGCAGCGCGCGGAGCCAAAGTGTGTAAAACACGTGATGATGGTTTTACGGCGCGAGACTTGCGAAGTTTGGTCTCATCCGCCCAGTCTTCTGCGGACGACTCGCCTGCCGCTCTGCTGCTGCTGTGACCAGGCAGATCAAGAGAGAGAAAAAAGTCGACTCTTTTTTTTACGACTATCTTGTTGTTGATGTTGTTCGCTGGATAAGGTGGCGTTGTTGCAGTCCTACGCTTTGCCTCGCTGTGCTTCTACTTTGCCGGTAGTGGATCTGATAGCGTCGCGTACGTATTACTCATCCTGCCTCGGTGGCGGCCGATGTCTCTGTCAGCAGCGGTTTCTCATACTCTTTTTCTCTCGCGACCGGATCAAACCATCTGGGTACGACGCTCTAATGACTCCCGCTTGGAGTGGCGGTTTCGGGGGAAACCGTTGGGGATTCTAGAAGAAAGCAGGAGGTGGTGGGACGACGGTTTTTAAAGTGTCTGTCGACGTCAGATGTATTATTGGCTTCATCAAGTCCACTTTGGAATTAACGACAACAAGGAATGAGTTGGGGAAGAATTGCAGTGGGTGGCACAGTGGTGTGGCCCGTCGACTCCGTGACGGGCAGTGGCGGGGCAGGGCAGGCACTTAGCGTGGTGATACCGGTGCCGAGAACGCCCGGAGGCTGGCGGCCCGGAGGCCGGCGGGGATCTCGTCGGTCTCCACAGGCCAGGCCAGCCAGGCAGTAACAGGGTGGGGTCGGGGCCACTTGAAGTGCCATGAGTGCCATACGACTGGGGCGTACGACTGGCCGTAATGAAGTGCCGTGTCCCCCGGCCAATAAAGTGCCATCTGATTGCGGAAGGTGTTCGCGGCGGGCCACGGTCTCCGGCCACGGTCCCCGTGGTCCCCGGCCACACAGGCCTCACTCGGCGCGGACACTGCCACCAGCTTCGGCCTCTGCCAACGCCCCCTCCACGGCCTCGGAGTAATTGAATGGAAAGCGGTGAAGGAGGCCAATTAGTGGCCATAAGGCACATCCAGGATGATGCATGGCTCAAATGGAGGATTAAAAATCAATCAAGTCGGCCACTCCACCAGGGCGTGGCGTGGCGCGGCGCGGCGGGGGCGGCCCAGGAAGTGCATGGTGACATGGCGAAAGCATTGAGGCCAGTGACGGCCGCTGTCCATCCCGAGGGCCAGGGCCCAGGGCCAGCGGTCCGAGAGGCGTCGCTCTGTCTCTCTCGCACTAGCGGGGCGTCCCGTATGAGTGCGAGAGAGACAGAAAGTGACTTTGGGTCGGCGGGCCACGGCGGGGCTAGCCTGCATTGTGCACCGTCAAACGGGCCGGCCGGCGGATTAGCCGGGCCTTCGACCGCTCCAATAATTAAAATGCCCCTCGACAAAGCATTCCGACGCCACGGCACTGTAAAGCGTGTTTGCTGACGAGGAGGAATGGCAGCGCCGCCCCGACCAAGCGGTGCAACAAATCGATTAATCGAACCAAAAAGTTTTGGTGAAAAGTAAGATACTAGGTCGCCGCAAGCAAATGGCAGGATATGGTTAGTAGGCTGCGGCAACGCAGCATTTTTGAATTTGGCCTGGAGAAATGTTTCTGTCCTGGAGAAATGCTCTTGGCCTGGAGAAATATGCTCCTGAGCTGAATTTATTTTTTCAGTTCTGGTTAAGGATGGACCGCTAGCTTGTTGCGAGTACTGCTGAGGCCAAAAGAGCCTTGCCTCCAGCAGCCTCCAGCAGACCCCGGCTGGAAGGCGGCAGGTGCAGGCTGGCTGGCAGGCTGGCTTATGCCCGGAGGTCTCTGATTGATAGCGGCAAATCATTTGATAGTAGTGGGCGGTTGTGGGTGGCGTCCTTGCGTTAGACCGGCCGGCCCGTCGGCCGAGCCCAACCGGTCAGCCGCCGACCCGAGATCGGCGCTCTGACTCCGCTCTCTCTCTCTCTCTCTCTCTCTCTCTCTCTCTCTCTCTCTCTCTCTCTCTCTCTCTCTCTCTCTTTCTCGCACTCATGGCGCGTCCCGCAAGGGTGCGAGAGAGACAGAGCGCTGTCCGAAGTCAGCCGACCGGCCGCCCCACATTCAAACCCGGTGAATAAATCTCCACCTCATTCTTCTCAAACTCTCGCAGCAACAACACTCTGACCCGAAAGTGTCGCGTAGCCAAAGCGCAGACCACGGAGCGTTCAGGGCAATTAGCAACAACAACAACACGGCCATGTCCGCCCCGGTCCGCCCTGAGCTAAATTTGTTGTTGTTGTTGCGTGGGAGTGAGACGGAGGGTAATGGTATCGGTATCGTGGATACTCATTACCGCGAGGCTGGTGTTTACCCACCGCTGCGCCTGGGTCAGCTGGCCTGGCGGGCTGGCCGAGCTGGCGGGGCTGGCCGAGCTGGCAGCCTAGACGCGAAACGGCCGGCAGGCGCGCTGGCAGGCAGCGGGTCAAGCGATGACAGAACCGCAATTGCTGCGTTCAACTCTCCGTAGTGTTTTTTTTTTATCTTCGTCCCTATCTTCTTCCTTTTTTCCGAAGCGCCTTTACGAATAAAGTGGGCCGATCTTGGTCGGAGGTTGTTTGTTTTCGATGCCCGCGGGACCGCACCGGATATACGATGGCTCGATACAGTAATACAACGCAATGATGGCCCTTGTGGCTCGTGGCCCTTGTGGTCAGGCCCGCGTCCGGCCTGGGACCAGTCATTCGCAGCACTGTCGTACCGACACACACACACACACACACACACACACACACACACACACACACACACACACACACACACACACACACACACACACACACACATCTACACCGCTTTTCCGTCGGTGAAATGAAGCCCGGTGTCCTCGATCCGAGACGCGCGCTAGTATTGGCCGGCGCGGTGGTTGCGATGGCAACGCGGAGGGGAGGGGGGAGTCAAATGGGTCCAAAGGGACGAGGTGCGCTACGCTGCGCTACGCCCGGCCGCAAGACTATGACGATTTGAATCGTGGACAGTGATCTGGGATCGGCCGGCCCGGCCAAGGGCCCGGCCCCACCCGCGGCCGAGACCCAGACCACAAGTAATCGGCGGGGAAGCGTGCGCCAAGGGGAGGGGGAGGGGGGAGGGGGGTCGGCCCGCGCCTATGCCCCCGTGCCATGGGCCGCCCATTGGCCAGATGGATTCCCCCAATCGGCCAATCGGCCACTTCCGGTGGTGTCACCCCCCTCTTCCGCTGTCATGACCGATGGATATGTAAACCCGAGTCGAAACGTGACCACCGGGCCCATTCCAAGGCGGGCTACCCCCTCCCTCTTCCCCCCTCCCGGGAGAATATGGCGTTTGATTCATCCCTATCGCTAGACAAGGCCAAGGCAATTCCCCCGGCAGGGAATGGTCCGCGGGGAAGGAGGCCGACGAACGGGAAAATCATTTTTCCAGTGACATCAGGTTTCATGTTGGTAATTGTTCCAGTTTTTTGTTCAGTCCTCTATGTGTGCACTCAGTGGACACTTCAGTCCTCTATATTTGTACTCAGCACGCCGAAAGTGTTCTGTGTTTGTACTCAGTTACACACTGAAAGTGTTCTGAGTGTGTAACCCTAGTGAAACGAGTAAATATATTCTATATTTATCTTTTATTTATTTCACATTTAAAATTAAATAAATCCTTTATTTACTTAATTGAATTTAAACTTATTTAAAGTGAATATAGAGTGCATTTAGCACAGGACTTAGCCATGTGAGGCAACCTTTTATTCCACTTTATATTGCTTCCAAAGATGAAATAAATTTCCAGTAAATTACTGGTAAATATACTAAAATTTCTCCTTATTTAATTTCTTTGTGGAAATTTAGGTTTAAATTTAGTGTTATATTTAAATTAAATTAAGTATTACATTTAATCTAAACAAGCGGCTTAATTTTAACCAACTTTGGATAAGTAATTCACTTTCGTGGACAGTATCAGACACCACAGTCACGTGACATGTCTGTGGTAATCCAAAAATTCATGCACCGAAGGCGCATTGGCACCGACTGGGAGAGTCAGTTCCCTTGCACTTAGCACAATGCTGCCGGCAGGGTGCGGAAAGCCTAGTTCATTTGGGGAAAATGCTAGCCAACACCGCGAGCAAAGGGATAGAGATCGACTGTGGCGCCATCTAGCGGAGGGCGCAGGAATAAATTTAACCAAAATTTATTTAAATCTTAAGAAGTTTTTGTATGTTACTTTTATGTGTGATAAATTTAATCCTTTATTTAGCTGCAAAGTCTAAATATACTTTAAAATTTAGAAAAAAATTTTAGTCCAAAAATATCCAGAAATTGGATATACATTGTATTTGC